TTTTTTTTTTTTTTTTTTTTGCGGTACGCAGGCCTCTCACTGTTCTGGTCTCGGAGCACAGGCTCCAGACGCGCAGGCTCAGCGGCCATGGCTCAAGGGCCCTGCCGCTCTGCGGCATGTGGGATCCTCCCGGACTGGAGGATGAACCCATGTCCCCTGCATTGGCAGGCGGACTCCCAACCACTGTGCCACCAGGGAAGCCCCCCCCTACTCATTTTTTAATCTGAGGTTTAGTTTAGTTGTCACCTGCATGAAAGAACTTTTCTAGATCGTCCAAGCTCCTTTAGTACTATACTCACATCAGTTTCATGAGGACCACACTGTATCAAAACGGCTCATTAACTTATGTTTTTCTTCCATTAGACTAAGTTCTACTTAGTCTACTAAATACCAAAAAGAAAATGACTGTTTTGATCTTACCAGATACTTAAATAGATATGAAGAAAGCCAGAGTGCCTGTACTCCTGTCAGAGAAAGTAGATTTCAAAGCATATTATGAAGGATAAAGAAGGTCATTTCATAATAATAAAAGACTTACAGCATCAGGAGGACAAAACAATCCTAAAGTTTATGCACCTAATAATAGTTTCAAAATATATGAAGCAAAAACTTGACAGAACTGTAGGAGAAACAGACAAACCCACAACTGTAGCCAGAAATTCAAATGCCACTCTCTCTATAATTGATAAAACAAATAGAAAATCAATAGGCAATAGAAGACTTGAACAAACTATCAACCAATCTGACATAACCAACACTGACAGAAATTGTACCCAACAGAAACTGAATCAGCAGAATAAACATTCTTCTCAAGTGCACAGAGAACATTTACCAAGACAGACGGCATTCTCAGACTTAAAACAAACTCTCAATAAATTTAAAAGGATTCAAGTAACATAGAGTATGTGCACTGAAAACAATGGAATTAGACTAGAAATCCCAACAGAAAGATATATGGAAAATAGTCAAGTATGCGAAAATTAAATAGTGTACTTCCAAATAACCCACGGATCATCAAAAAAATAAAAATAAAATTAGAAAGTTTTTTGAACTACAATAAAACAAAAACAGGACATGTGAGAATCTGTGGTGTACTGTGAAAGCAGTACCTAGAAGGACAATTACAGAACTAACCACTTATATTAGAAAACAAGAGAGGCCTTAAATCAATGATGTCATCTTCCAACTTAAAAAATTAGAAAAAGAAGAGAAGTAAAACTAAATGTAAACAGAAGAAAATTTCTAAAATGGCATTATTGATAGAATCAGGTAAAAAGATTATCAGTAAGGTATTTCTCAGAGCACATTAGCTTCAGAAATTAATTTTTATCTTCTACTTTTTCTCTTTATTAATCCTTGATTATCTCTCTATTCTTCAGGTTTGTCTATTTATATGTAGTCTCCTGACTTACAAATTATTATTTTAACTTCAGACCTTTATCTCAACCATAATATATCAAATTTTGAAAAATGTCCAAACTGGTCACTAAAATTTTCATGAAAATAGTGACTAACTATATGCTAGATATTAATAGAAACTCTAAGTATCCTCTCAGCCAAATACTTCTACAACATAGGAATTGTCATTCTCACTTGATATTAAAAAACTGAGGCTAAATAACTTAATCAAAATCACATAATTATTAAGAGACAGAGCCAGGAATCAAGTTTGATTGTAAAACTGAGAGTGCCCGGCATATAGTGAGTCTCTCTCACTTAAGAAACCCATCTTTAAAACATAGAAAGGGAATACTGTGAATATAGTCTATGAAGCAGAATAAAGAATTAGAAGAAACCTTAAATTTCATCCAGAATAAACATACCCAATCAAGTTAAGGCACATATTAAAAGAGAATACAGATATCTGATGGGTATTTATCTTTTTTAAAATACATTAGCGAGCAGAATATGTACTTCTACATGTAACTTTACTTTCATATGATATATTGTTAAAAATATTGTTATTAAAAATCAGTTCATAACTTGTCAGGGAATATATTCAATTCAAATAAAATCAGTTGAAAACAGAAGACAGTATTTCTATTTTTTAAATCTATGTTCCATGAATGCTGCTGAACTTCTCTGATCTATTCATAGTTTTTGACTTAAATAGGGGACAGTCTTGCAAATTAAGTCTAAATGATTCTTCAACACAACTGAAATATGATACTCATCTATCCCAGAACAATAAAACCCTCCTCCTACATCCTCTAATTATTTGCATTTTCCCATTATCTTCTCTTTGGAGTTTGACACAAAATGTTTTTACCTTTATCAGTCACATACACATCTATGACCTTACCCCCGACCAAAAATTTTTAATGAACAGAGATAGTGGAGAATATAAGACCAAGAAGGGGAAAAGTGAAAATATTTGCTGGAGGAATGGACGTGAAGAAAACAAGAGGGGCATGAAAATATGCCTCTTTTTCATTTAGATAGAGTCCTAAAGAAAATTGATGAGATGGGACAAGATCAAGATAGTATATCATAAATTTTAGAACTTTGAGAATCTCTTTTCTAAATAAATAAGAAAATGTGATAAAATAGTTATAACATTAAAATGAATAAGATAAAAGAAAGGGGAGTAGATGTCAATACTACCCAAAGTGATCTACAATGCATGCAACATCTAACAAAATCTCAATGATGTTTTTTGCAGAAACAGAAAAATCCATCTTAAAATTCATATGGAATCTCAACGGACTACAAATAAGCAAACTATCTTTAAAAAGAACAAAGTTGGAGGTCTCACACGTCCTGATTTTAAAACATACTACAAAGCTACAATAATCAAAATAATGTGATACTGGCATAAAGAAAGATATATAGACCAATGGAATAGAATGGAGATCCCAGAAATAAACAAACTCATATATGGTCAAATGATTTTCAGTAAGGGTGCCAAGACCACTGAATAGGGAAATGACAGTCTTTTAAACAGTGTTGGGAAAACTGGATATTCACATGCAAAAAAAGGTGAAGTTGGACCCTCACCTCACACCATATAAAAAATTAACTCAAAATGCATAACAGACCTAACTTAAGAGCTAAAACTTTAAAACTCTTAGAAGAAACTATAGGGGAAAAGCTTCATGACATTGAATTTGGCAATGATTGCTTGGCTATGACAACTAAAGCACAAGCAATAAAGAAAAAATAGGTAAGTTGGATTTCATCAAACTC